CAAATCAAACTATGAATCAAAACAAACTCCCAGGATAAAGACTGAAGCTGTGGTGTGTGCGATGCCATCATCCCGAGCTCTTCCCCTTACTTGCGGAAGTACCTGAAACCAAAACTAAAACTATAAGCACGAAGCTTAGTGAGCTCCCCCAAACTACCACATACCATACAATAACATATAAACACGTACTGGGCCTTGCCCACTGCATCGGGCCGAAGCCCGGAACTGCATCGGACCGAAGTCCGGAACTGACTGGGACCTTGTCCCTTGCATCGGACTGAAGTCCGGAACTAACTGCATCGGACCGAAGTCTGGAACTGAATGGGACCTTGTCCCCTGCATCAAACCGAAGTCTGGAACTAACTGCATCGGACGAAGTCCGGAAACTAACTGAGCATAACATAGCATAACATAAACACATATCAACTAGCATAACACACATGATCATAAACTCATTTACTGCATACTACGTCAGGCCGTAGCCGATAACACCTAACACATAAATCCTGTATGAGCCACGAAGGCATCAAACACACTAACAACTGCATCGGACCGGAGTCCGGAAACTACTACTAACTAAATGGGCCGACATTGTGGCCTTAGACCCGTTCTTATTGGAAGGAAACTCACCTCGTAGCCTAGCTGATGAAAGGACTGCTTTGGAATCTGTCTGCTGCGTCGCTTGTTTCACCCCGACTACTAGGGATGAGATTTAGAACCGGAAACCCGGACCAGAACCGGAATCGGACCGGAACCGGAACCGTTAGAACCGGAATATATAAAACCGGTTCCGGTTCCGGGTTTAAAAATTGGCTTTATCCGGGTTCCGGGTAATCCAGGTTTGGGTCCATCGGGTCCGGGTAAAACGGGTCTAAAAACCGGAACCGGTGTTTGGAACCGGAACCACTTTTAGGGCCGGAACTGATTTTTGTGAAACGTTTAAAAGATGCATATCTCATTCGTTTCAACTCCGATTGACATGCGGTTTTTTCCAACATGTAGTTTAGAGTTTGTACATGTTTTTAGACTATAAATTTGCCATTTTTAGTTTAATATTCATTGACTTACAGTCCCCCAAAGTCGAGATATCAAAGCTGGAAGTTTTTAATTTTTTTGTTTTTTTGTATTCGGTGAAAGTTTTAAAACATGCATATCTAATTCGTTTGAAGTCAGATTGATATGTGGTTTTTTGCAACTTGTAGTTTACAGTTTGTACATGAGTTTAGACTTTAATTTTGTCATTTTTGGTTTAACATTCAATAATTTACAGTCCTCCAAATTCGGGATATCAAAACTGAAAATTTTCAACTTTTCAGCAATTTGTTTTTGTACTTTGTATTATGTGAAAATGTTAACACATGCATATCTCATTCGTTTAAAGTCGGATTGACATGTGGTTTTTTCCAGAGTGTATTTTAGAGTTTGTACATGATTTTAGATTATAATTTTGTTAATTTTAGTTTCTTATTCAATGAGTTACAGTCCCCCAAAGTCGGGATATCAATATAAAAATTTTCAAAGTTTAATCCGCTAAGTAGTAAGTAATTACCAAAAAATTCCGGTTTTTCCGGGTTTTCCGATTCTAAACCCACTTTATCCGGTTCCAACCTACCCACTTTATTGTTTCCGGGTTTTCCGGTTCTAGACCCACTTTACCCGGAACCATACCCGGAACCGAACCGGAACCGGTTCCTATATACCGGTCCGGTTTCCGGTTCTACAAAATCCCATTAACCGGTTCCGGGTTTTCCAGGTCCGGGTCCATTCGATCCGGGTTTGGACCCACTTTCATCCCTACCGACTACAATATCCATGAGCACCATCAATCAAATACTGATAATAATAATATTAAGGGTAAAATAACTCTCCTACCCCTGGTCCAAGTCAACCTAACTATCAAAGTCAACATTCAGTTGACCTGACTCGTCGAGTTGGGCCGCCAACTCGTCGAGTCCTTACTCTTACTTCCTTGATTCCACTCGCTACTACTCGTCGAGTTTTGGCGCAAAATCGGTGAGTTCCTCTTCGCTACTAACACTTAGACAATCTGCATCCGACTCGCCGAGTTGTATGAACAACTCGTCGAGTTCTCCTTCATCAGATGATCATTATAGTTGTGACTCGCCGAGTTGTATGAACAACTCGTCGAGTCTGTTCTTGAAGTATGAAGATGGCCTTGAACTCGCCGAGTCAGGGCATTGACTCATCGAGTTCTTCCACGAATGAGTCTAACCCTCTAACTCACCGAGTCCACTTCTCACTCACTGGCTCCACTCGGCATAACTCGAAAAAGGAAACACAAGGTACTCACGACTCATCTCGCTGAGTCAGAAGAACGACTCGCTGAGTCGTATGCATGCAAATACTATACACTCAATTCTGTTTGAAACTAATCCATGCCATTAATAGATCTGGGTTCCTGGGACTTGATTTACACGTAAAGTTTCCAACTTTATGTGTAAATAACATCAAATGGAAGTTTTAAGGTTAAAAGCACACTATAACAGTAGATCTAGAGCTTTCATGCAAAATGAATCCATAAAGGTGCTAGATCTAAGCTCCTGGAAATCAAATCTAGCTAGATCTGAAGGTTAATCAACTCCATAAGTCCTCTATGCTACTACTAAGCTAAGAAATGGTTTAAGAATGGCTTCACAAAGGAGATTTAAGCATAAAAACAGAAAAGGGCCAAGATATACCTTACTTTCTTCTGAAATTCCTCCAAGATCTAGGATCTCCTTCTTCTCCTCTTGATCTACCTTTCTTTATCTCTCAAAATCTTCAAAGAATACACCAAAATCACTCAAAATGCAAAAAGAGGCTCTAAGGTTTCGAGAATGAAGCTCTGAGGGGTGATGGGGGCTGACTTGAGGCCCCAAAAGTTGTTTATATAGGGTGCAAACCCTTGAAATTAGGGTTTCATCCAGGCGGACTCGCCGAGTCGCCAACTTAAACGTGCTCGAAATCGCGACCTAACTCGACGAGTCCAGCTACTGACTCGTCGAGTTCCCCTTAAAACTTGAAGAAATATAACAATAAATAACATTATAAATATCGTACCAGAATTGGGGTGTTACATGACCTTGTTGAGCATCCGACTTTGCAACGCAAGGTCCGTAAACCTCGTTAAGCCATGTTTTCGTGTCCTACACACTCCCGATGAGTGTGTTATAGTGTTGTATCACTTTGGTTCATTGTTTAGCACTATCAAGGCTAAGGAAAATTAAACACACAAGTTTTCCAAATGATGTTTTCTCATTAAAATAGCGAGTTGTAGAGTAATTACATAACGTAAACCATAGTATACAAGGGTTAATTGAGTTGTACGGTTTGACTCGTTGACTTTGTTTGACTTTGACTTGACCCGAAATTGACTATTGTCACAGTAGTCGACTTCAACCACCTTTAATGGCATTTGACTGGTGCGATAGAGGGGAGAAGGGTTGATACGTTATCGAAGGAGAGGGTGGAAAGGATTTTTTTTTCATATATAAGCAAACCACAGAGCATAAAGATAGATAGAATGAGGGTTTACCGACGAGGTCGATTTAGAAGGTGGGGGAAGAGAATGATTGGAAGAAGAAGGCGGTGAAGAAATACGTGTACATATGAATCGAGCAACAAATATATGGAGTCGGTGGTGTGGTGGAGCTATGCTATTGGGAAACAGAGACGGTGGCCAATGACTCAAATGTGGACTCGAATGCATCCCACTGTCTATAAAAAAACAAAAAGAAAAAGAAAAAAGAAAACAAAAAAGAAAAACCCACCAATAGGAACCAAATACTGTTCACTAAGGGTCCTCACAATTAAAAGTTATATAAATTTGAACAAAATTCAGCATGCATAATAAAAAAATAGCACATATAATATAATATTGAACAAAATTCAACATGTATAATTAAAAAACAACACATATAAACTGAATTTGAACAAAATTCAACATGTATCTCCTCCTATGCTCGAAATCAGATGAAACATAATATGATTTTGATTTTGATTTCACAAACTCTGAAATGACACTCTCAGATTTCGAAAAATCAGAAGAAAGAAAATGATAGAAGCAGAAAAAAGAAAATGATAGAAGCAGAAAAAAGAACAAATCACAAATTGAAACATATTGGAAAAAAATCAGAAAAAAATTCGTCTTTCGCAAGAAACGGATTCTAAAGAAACGTATCAGAAACGAAAAAGAAGAAGAACACGAACCTGGGCAGAGATGGAGGGGATCAGTGACTTTTGGTCAGGGACAGAGGAGGAGGACGGCGTCTTGGCCAGCGAAGGGACAAACCGATGAAGGTTGATGATACATGATGGAGGCGCTGATATAGATGAACGAGGGGCAACGTTTTCTTTCTTGTTCGGGCACAATTGTCCAACGCATGTTTCTTTTTCATCCAGACATGAGTTTAAGCTTTGTAGGAAAGATATATCTTACCGGGGAAAACTGAACTTTTTTGTGCATATCAAACGGTTTTTCCGACCCATTTAGCTAGAAAGATCTTTCTGGGTCTGGAAAGATGGTTATTAAAGAGGACCTTAGGCTTTTCAAGCGTATTGACATTGTAATATGTACATGTACTTTAAAAATTTTCATTAATGCAATTTTAAGTAATGGAAGATCTTAGGATTCTAAGTAATGAAAGATCTGAGCAAAATTGTCCATTTACTATGTTTTATGTTAGGTTGGAATCTTTACATAAATGATCCCTTATGTTTTTCTGCTGATTTGGTGTGAGTGCAAAGTTGTCTTTTCACATGAATTTAACAGCATAAACCGATGGGAGTTAAGTCCCAGGGACTAAAGCTGATACCAAATAGTGAAATAAGGACCATACATAATTAAATCCCAATATTAAGACCAAAACTGATGATTTATGCAAACCACAAGATTCAAGAACCAAAACTATATTTTACTCTAAGTATTATGCTTAATCTATCTGGTCCACTTTAATCATGTCCATCGACCAAACGTTATTTTAACGACATATTTAAACAATATGAAAGGAATAGAGAAACTAATGTTTGTGAAATTAGAAACTCATTGCAATTTTTCGTTAAATATATATAAGTAAAGAGAAATTAAATATGAAATTATCATATCGTCAATCGAGTGTTCTGTTACTTCTGTTTTTCTGGTTAAACCCTAAAGGGGCGGGAATAGGCAGAAAGCAGTCCACACAGGAATCTCGTATTCGTATCTCCCTTTTGCCGTAGCACGAGTCAAAAGAGGACCAGAAAACCCTGCTGTTCATGGGAACTGGTGCAATGGCATCTTGGTTACAATGGATAATCAATCAAAATCAAAAGCAAAAAGCAAAACCCTCGCTGTTTCCCTTCCTTGGTCCCTTTTCAATTCCTTCCCTTGGGATGCAGTCATTCTATTCTCCTCATCCTCTTCCCCCATAAAGTTGAAAAATGCTCCCATTCTTTACTTGCTATCAGAGAAAGCCCTAAAAGCTAAGTAATTGCCCCGCATCAGCAAGCAAAGGATCTTTACACACTCTATCTATATCAAAATTCATAAATACAAATATGGTTTTCGTGTGCGCATTCTTCAGCAGCTTTCAGGGTGGAGGGAGAGAGAGTTCCAACAAGTTTCAGGTGGAAATCAGGGGTGCTGACGGAGTTGGACGGCAGGAATGGCGAGTACGAGTGGGACCAAAGATGAGGTGGGCCCACCGAGGTCGTTGTCAAGGAGGATGACGAGGACTTCCACTATGGTTGATCCTAATGCCGAAGGTGTTGATAGCGAGCTTGTTCCTTCTTCCCTTGCTTCTATTGCTCCCATCCTTCGGGTTGCCAATGAGATCGAGAAGGATAATGACAGAGTTGCTTACTTGTGTATGTTTCCCCTTACTATATCTGCCTCTTCCTTTCCTAAGATGCCAAATTGCTTATAATTTGTTGTGTTTGGAGGTGAGTTTTGAAATCGATTGATTGGAAAATCTATTGATTAAAACTAGATAGGTGTGTAACTTTGCTTCTATAAATAGGATGAACCAGAATAATAATTAATTACTTTTAAATACAATAGCACATCACACAGATCCAAGTATTGCTCATAAAATCAGGGTATCTGGCACTATGTAGTCCTTTTGGTGATTGTGCATAGCTTATAAGACATTGAGAACTACCTAATAGGATTCAAATCATGCCGCATCAGACACCAAGTCATAGGATAGGTCCAACCTCTTGGGGTCTTCTGTGACTCTTGATATCATGAGACGAAAAAAGAGAAACTTTTTGGAGTTACTTAAGTTTGTTTCTGGTTGAAATATGTTTGATTAGTTTAGAAAATAAGTTTTGTTTCAGGTTTACAATGTATAAGATGATTTAGATTCGATTGCTCTATTCTTTTTGGCAAAAGGGACATGCATAAAGATTAATTTTGACTACTACATAAAGAATTTTGGACTTTTCTTTTGAGGTATTCAGAGCAAGTATTTTTTTTTTTAAAAAAAAAAAGGTAAAAAAGCAGATAAGCTGGTATGAACAGAAATGCTGCAACTGTAAAAGTACAAGAAAAAGAAAGCGAAAATAGAGATAAAAAGTAGCACCATATATCATTTCCTCAAAAGTACATCAGCATATACAACCTTGAAACAACCAAGAAAATTAAGACAGCATGGTGGTTGTGCTTGCTGGTTGCTGTAATAAATTTCTCATTTATGCCTTTAATTTGTTGCATTAGGCCGGTTTCATGCATTTGAGAAGGCCCACAGGATGGATCCGATATCTAGTGGACGTGGTGTTCGCCAGTTCAAGACCTACCTGCTACATAGACTTCAGAAGGTGCACATTACTATTTTCACCATTTTAAGTGTATTTTAGTCATATTAGATTTTCAGAAATTCTAATGAAAATTTAAAATGTTGTATTGGTGTAGGAAGAAGAAACGACAAAACCTCGGCTAGCAAAAAGTGATCCTAGGGAAATCCAGAAGTTCTACCAGAACTTCTATGAGAAAAACATCAGAGAAGGCCAATACACAAAGAAACCGTGAGGCTTGTTTTTAATTAATGTCTAGAGATGTTACATCACATCATCTGATTACTTATTCATTTTGTTGTTTTTCTTCTATCATCTCTAAGTGAGGAGATGGCCAAGATTTATCAGATTGCAACGGTTTTATATGATGTACTAAGGACTGTGGTACCTGCTTCAAAAATCGAGCAAGAGGTATGATTGTTTTATCATACTTTGATATCTAGTTACCATGTAAGTTTAAATACCCCATTGCTCATGTATGCTTCTATGGCATTCTAGACTCAACAATATGCAAGAGATGTAGATGCAAACAGAGAACAACATGAACACTATAACATCCTTCCTTTGTATGCTGTTGGAAATAAACCAGCAATCACAAGGCTTCCCGAGGTTGTATTCAGACAGACATAAATCTCATTTTCTATATATATATACACACACACACACACACACACACAAAGATGTATACATCCTTCTTATTTATTTCACTCTTCACATGTCATTAGATCCAAGCAGCTCTTCGAGCAATTCGCACTGTGGATAACCTTCCATCTGTTAGAAGGATAGGAGACGGAGACAAACCTATTAATGATATTCTTGAGTGGTTATCATTAATTTTTGGTTTTCAGGTAACTAACTTATATTCATAAACTGCTTTATTTAAATTTAACTATGCACAAATTGTTTACAAATGTGACTATATTGAAAATTTTGTGATTCTGAAATGAAGAAAGGAAATGTTGCAAATCAACGGGAGCACTTGGTATTGTTACTTGCAAATATCGATAGAAGGTCGAAGGGTGTTGATGACTATGATCAGGTAAAGCTCCCACTTTTTTACTGTAATATTTGAAAACTGTGTGTGACTGTGATTTAGAGATGAACTAAATACTGATGAGGAGCTTTTTGCAGTTGGGTAGCCATACTGTAAAGCATTTACTGGATAAAACTTTCAAGAACTATGTCTCATGGTGTCATTATTTGCATCGAACATCAATCATTGAGTAAGTTATTAGCAAGATGAGATAGCATGTTTCTTGTTCTTTGAAGTGAGGATTTAATCTTTTTGTTTGTTCAAGTTCAAATAAGGTTCCACCTAGAGCTGATAGGCAGCAGTGGCAGCAGTTGCATCTTCTCTACATTGGACTCTATCTACTCATCTGGGGTGAAGCTTCAAACATACGGTTCATGCCTGAATGCCTTTGCTATATTTTTCATAATGTATGTTATTATTTTTTGTTCATATTTAAAAGAATACAGTTATCATTTTGTTTGTCTTTATGATGCGATCTTTTTTTTTTTCTTTGAACAAAACAGATGGCAAATGAAATGCATGGAACTTTATTTGGCAATGTCCAACCTGTAAGTGGAGGGACATATCAAGCAACAGCAGTTGATGAGGAAGCATTTCTGCGTGAGGTCATCTCACCTGTTTATGATGTTCTTCGCAAGGTAATAACATCATAAGTTGTGTTCCAGTTTGATAAATTCTACTATTCTAATGGGACTTATTTTTGTAATGGTGGCAGGAAGCCAGGAGAAATCAAGGTGGCAAAGCAAGCCATGCTTCATGGAGAAATTATGATGATCTTAATGAATATTTTTGGTAACTACTCTCTTTATAAGTATTATAAAACTGACATTCATGCTGTGAAACTGTTGACCAACCTTTAATTCTGTTTTCTTGCAGGTCTGACAAATGCCTTAAGTTAGGCTGGCCAATGGATCGCAAGTCTGACTTTTTTGTCCACTCTGATGAGTCATCGCGCCATCATGCAGTATGTGTGGATTTAATTATGCTAGTAATTAGTTTCCACCAAATAAAAATATGCTCAAATTTAAGTAATCTGCAGGGGCGCAATCAAGTAGTATCTGGAAAGAAGAAGCCTAAAACAAATTTTGTTGAAGTGCGTACATTTTTGCACCTTTACAGGAGTTTTGATCGGATGTGGATATTCCTCATATTGGTCTTGCAGGTAGGCATATATATAACAGAATCATGCAGTTAGTATCAGTTGGTGAGTTCTTATTAGGGCTGGTAGCATTTGAATCATTTCTTTTTGATCTTGTAGGCTATGATCATTATTGCATGGCATGGAGATGGATCGATCTTTGGAATTTTGGATGAAGGTGTCATCAAAAGTATATTCAGCATATTCATTACTCATGCCATACTTAATTTTATCCAAGGTACGTATTTACTTCCTGCACATTCTTTCGTTACTTCTGTTGCCCTTTTGTAATTTATGGTTTCTTTTTGCAGCTAGTCTAGACATAATCCTTAGTTTCAATGCCTGGGGGAGCTTAAAACCTACACAGATTCTTCGCTATATACTCAAATTCATTGTAGCTGCATTTTGGGTGGTAATCTTGCCAGTTTGTTACTCAAGATCAGTTCCAAATCCAACAGGACTTGTGAAGTTTGTCAGTACTTTGGGGGGAAATTGGAGAGAGCAATCACTTTATAACTACCTTATAGCAATTTACTTGATACCCAACATACTGGCTGCCTTTCTATTTCTTCTTCCACCTATAAGGAGACACATGGAACGTTCCAATTGGCGCATAGTTACTCTTCTAATGTGGTGGGCACAGGCAAGTTCATTTACATGTTGGTTGGTTGTGTGTATTGATGTCACATGCTTCTTGTTTTATTTTGAATTTTGCGGATTTTTACAGCCAAAACTCTATGTTGGAAGAGGCATGCATGAAGACATCTTTTCTCTTTTCAAGTAAGGATATAAAGTTTATTTATGAATTGTGATTTGATACATTTTTTTCTTACTTTGTTACTCTTGATCTTAGGTATACTCTATTTTGGATAGTGCTGCTAATAAGCAAGTTCGCATTCAGCTACTATGTGGAGGTAATCATGGAAATGCTTGTTACCATATGATTTGTATAGACAGTTTATGCTTATTTTTGCAAATTTCATTGTAGATACTGCCACTGGTCACACCCACAAAGTTAATCATGAAAATGCATGTTAGCAGCTATGAGTGGCATGAGTTCTTTCCCAACAGTAAAATCCTAAAATTTTCATACAAACTTTGTTTAATTGTGATTCCTATTAGACTAAGATCTGATTACTTACTTATTTGAACATTTTGTAGTGACCCACAATATCGGCGTTGTTATTTCTATTTGGGCTCCAATTGTCATGGTGAGTGTTCTTTAAAATAATAATTACTTTTGTTTTGCATTTATGAGGCCGATTAAACATATGTAATGTTATATTTTCATTTTAGGTCTATTTCATGGACACACAAATTTGGTACGCGATATATGCTACTATTATTGGTGGAATCTATGGGGCCTTCAGCCACTTGGGTGAGGTTAGTACGCATATATCTTTACTTTACTAAATTTTGAAATAGAAAGATGACATCATCATTCTGTGGTGTTTGATCCTTAGATACGGACGCTTGGCATGCTAAGGTCACGATTTGAATCGGTTCCTTTAGCTTTTGTTGAACGC